TTTGTTTTGTTTTGTTGCGTTTTGTTTAAGTTCTGGAATTCCCCTCCCTGGCTCGCCTGCTTGGAAGCTCACTATTTATTCTTCAGGACCCACTACAGATACCCTCTCCTTGGGGAAGTTTATACTTACTCCTCTGTGCTGTCCTACAGCTCGTTGTATGTTCCTCTGTTATGGCAATTTTTTCTATTTATTGTAATCTAGACTGAGAATTCCTTGAGAGTGGAGATGCATTTACCAGTATACCCGCAGCATCCAGCAGGCATTTGAGGAAAGCTTCATTTTGAACGAGTGACAGTTGGTACACCAATCACATGCACATATCCTCGGTTTGTTTGCCAGGTTACTTAGGAACTTTCATTCATTCAAAGAGAACTACCCTTTGCTACTTTTTGCTGGGTGACTGAGGTGAACAATAGTGATAAGTCCTTACCCTCACAGATTTTACACCTTGATTTTCTATCCCATGTGCTCAGACAGACTAGAAGGCCCTGCTAAATTTAAGAGAGAACTTCTGATTGGAGCACCTCCGATCAGGCTTGGGTGCAGGGCTGTATCGACGAACAGGACACGGGGCATGCCTGTGCCACAGTGGGGCCAAAAGTGGGGAGCCAAAAGTGGCCAGGAATCGGGTGTTCGGCAGGGAAGAGGTGAGGGGGTTCTGGCTGTTGGTGGCATTATGGGCCAAGTCTGGCACAAAGTATCATCTGACTTGCCACCCTCTGGCCCAAGCCCCAGGAATTCCCAGCCTCTGTCCCACAGACTACCTATAAAGGTTGGCAGCAGGGCAAGGGAATTTTCTGTCTGCACTTCCTCCTCTAGTCTTGACATTAATTTGGAACAGGCAGCTAGAGAGGTGAGAGAAAAAGAGTATATTTATGAAAATAAGATCTTTAGTGCCTGCCCTATGGGCTCGTTTGTCCCTACCTTTATTTAGCATTTCAGAAACCTGAGCTGATGTTTACCAGAAGGCCAGTCAGGACTTTAGGTTCTAGCAATCCAGCAAATCCCAGCATTCACCCTTCTCGAACCACTTTTCACAGATATATTATTGACAGCATTTCCCTTTTCTGGAGCCGGGCCATTAAGGTAGATTCCCCTGTCATAGCCCCACCCTGCTAGTGTGGTCAGATGCCGACATCTAGGTGTGATACTGCCCCTGATGGTTTCTAAGGAGGCCTGGCACATTCTCTTAGGTTCAAGGCCATTTTTTAGGAAACCCTCTCTGCCACATTTCTTAACCACCCCCCTTAGATTTAACTATATTTCTGGCGCCTCTTTCCAAATTCCCATCTAGTGCAAATCCTCAACTGGGTGTACCAACAGATGACTCAAATTCATTATGTTCGAAATTAAACTCACCCCCACCCCCATCGATCCTCCTTGTATTTTCCTGACTCAGTGGATGCCACTACCATCCACACCGCCCTTTACTTCAGACTAGGTTAGATTCTTCATCATACTTTCTCACAGTTACCATACAGTTGTAATTAACATAAGTAATGTTTTGTGTATTTGTTTCCTCTGTAGTTTCTGCCGCTAGACTGTAATTTCTTGAGAGTTAGGACCACATCTACCTTATTCATCACTGTACCCAGTGCCTGACACATCTGACACATGAGTCCTCACTCAGTATTTGTTGGATTAATTAAGAAACCCAGGGGCGCCTGGGTGGCTCAGTCTGTTAAGCATCCGACTTCGGCTCAGGTCATGATCTCGCGGTCTGTGAGTTTGAGCCCCGCGTCGGGCTCTGTGCTGACCGCTTAGAGCCTAGAGCCTGTTTCAGATTCTGTGTCTCCCTCTCTCTCTGACCCTCCCCCGTTCATGCTCTGTCTCTCTCTGTCTCAAAAATAAATAAACGTTAAAAAAAAAAAAAAAAAAAAGAAATCCAACCCAGTCACCCAAGCTAGAAACTTCATCATCAATGTAGATTCCTCTCTCTTATCATCTACATCTTATCTATCAGCACAATTTGTCTATTCTACCCCTGAAATGTTTCTCAGATCTGTCCTATCAGTACTATACCTGGTGTTCAGTATCTAATCATCTCACATTTGGACTGTGGTAATAACTTTATGGGTTTCTCTATCTCTTTTCTTTTTTTCCTTCTAATCTATCCGATGTGTAGCCAAAGCGGTTTACAAAACATTATAAACTGTGTCACTCCTCTATTTAAAAACTTTTTGGGGGCCTCCTATTGTCTAAAAGACAAAATCTAAACTCCCGGGAGAGTGGGATCTATCTCAAATTTAATTGTCCTGCCTCATATCCTGCCATTGTCCCCTACATAACCTCATGTTTCAACAACCACAAACAGTTCCCCAGTTCCCAAATCTTTTTATGTGTCTCCTTATTTACTTTCTTCCTCCTCTAGCGCCTAACACAGCTGTCACAAAGACAAGAGAAAGAAGGATGGGTGAAGGTAACTGTGGGGTCTGGTAGAGAAAAATCACTGGATTTCCAAAGAAACGGAGGCAAACTTTTAAAAATGTCATCTTCCCTCCAATGGTAAGCCTTGAAGCTCGTGAATCAGGGCTCAAGGCTGTCTGGTATTGAAGCTATACCTCTAAACATAAATACCGTCCTGCAGTTTAGCTCCTTTCCGTGTGGGGGGACTCTTCATCTTAAAAGTTCCTCTTTCTGTTTTTCAGTTCTCTTTTATGTGTTTTGGCGTGTGTCTCCTTTGGACGTGGCATCTACTGCAGGAAAGCAGAACGACCAAGTGCAGGAAAACTGATGCAATGGCACCACCTTTGGCATCTATCTGTAAGGTGTCACCCTGAAACCCAGTCACCTAATTTAACACACAGCAATTAAATGTTGTTCAGCGCCTGTGTCTTTCAGCTCTTCTTTCTCAACTGTCGATTACCATCGGGACTATGCCCTGATTTGGAATGGAACACAAGGGAACGTGGTATGTGTGCCTGCCATTTGCCTCTCGCTGTCATGTGACATGCTTCACATTAGGTCTGCCCTTGATACGTGGAATGGATCCATCCCGAGCTTCTCATGTCTTTGTTCTGGATGTTCCTCTAAGGTGATCCTCTCCTCTCCAAATGCTTGCCATCCTAAAGTGGCCAAACTGTATGAACTTTGGTTCGGATCCACTGGGAGCCTGAACATTTGTCTTTGGTGACCTGACACTGAGCAAGCAAACCTAATCGTTGCAAATAAATACCTCATAGAATGTCTGTCTGCATTTCATGACTTTGATCTCAAGTTCTTCCTTGATGTTTTATCTTTATTTTATTTTTATTTATTTATTTTTTTTTCTGATGTTTTATCTTTAGTATGCTGGAGGCTGCTGGGAATCTTGATTTATTTAATGCGCTAGCTGTTGGGGTGTGGGACATTGGAATTATTCTTCCTAGAAGTAGGGAACAGAAGGATTAAAGACCATGCTCACTTACAACCTATTCTGACACACACATTTTAGGAAAAACTTGGAGGGCACTTTGAGTGCCTCTTTGAGGTGGCATGACTCCTGGCTAGGGTGCCTTAAGGGGGGAAACCAGTGATGCCTCACGGATACTTTTAAAATACATTGTATTCCAAATGTGTAGCACCTAGGAAGCTGAGCTTCTGCCAAGTCAGGATTGCTGATTCCCTACTGTTCTGTTACCCTCTTCAGGATAGGAGTTTCCAATGTATTTCTGAGACAGCCACAAAGACGCACTGGGACTTAAAAAGCTGATCACACAGAAAAAGGAAGATGCGTACCAATTCCGGCTCCAGTGAGCTTAAGATGACCTTGGCAAACCTCCCATCAAGTGCAGAGTATTCCTCCCACTGATTTACTTAACACGTATAGGATGTGCACCTACTATGTGCTGATCACCATTCTAGGTAGTGGGACTAGAGCAGTGAACAAAACAGACAAGGTCCCTG